GCAATCTGCAGAATGCTTCAAGCATGGAGCGGCAACAGGTGGCAGGCAGTAAGAGACGGGTGGATATGTCATAAAAGTCCAAATTCATAAATCATACATCACAAATCCAAAAGGAGCACAGAGAACTGGGCCTGGGCACCAGAAAGACAAAGACACGCAGGCCACAGAAGAATCAGGCAATGAATGACTGAAGCTACAAGGCTTAAAAACACCGGGAAAGTGATGAGCGACCAGGTTGAAGATATATATGAAGGGCAGCGCAGCTGGGTGAGAACCTGAACAAAGGAGCTAAAGGAAAGTAGCTAATTTACACGGTCGAATCTTCCAAAAGCTGAAGATAAATCCTAAAATAAGAGTTTAAACCAACACAAAAAAAACAGAAGATAAGAAACAGCTAAGAAGAATAAAACATTAAGGTAAAGCACACATGGAAAGCTGTGAGTGACAGAAACAAAAACCACAAGTCAGAATTATCCAAATACAAACCAAGTGGCTACAAAATGCAGAGATCCATGGATCATGATAGCATGGACTAAAAACTCTCTGAGGACACTGAAAATATGAGTCTGAGTTTTCACATGAAGAATGATGAGGAACCCTGCTAAAAAGGTAGTTAAAAATCAACATAATGCATCAACTTCGTCTGGTTCTATTTGGTCTGGTTCTATAGTCTGGTTCTATTTCTGTTGAGACGGTTTTAACCAAGTTGTGAAAAGAATTGGCCCAAGAAAAACAGAGCTGATGAAACTGGTTGGCAGGCAGGTTGTTGTGGCCAAGTGGTAAGGCGTTGGTATCGTAACCAAATATCGTGGGTTTGATCCCCATCCACACCTGAAGCTGTAACCTATCAGGCCCAGTCTGGCTGGGGGAACCATTCAGAACGTTGGTCCATAAGATCTGCCTTTAGTTCAGGAAGGAATAGCTGTCAAATATGAATCCATATTGATGTACAAATGTAAAAGACTGTAGATTCTTGCCACACCTGAAGCTGTGATGTTAGTTGCACAGTCTGGTTGGGGAAATCATTCTGAATGTCTTTCCACAAAGTCCAACTTTAAGCTACATCTCTTAATTCAGCAAGGAAGAGCTGTCAAATATGAATCCAAATCTCTTGATGATTAAATGTGGTTGAGTGTAATAGCACCTTGATTGGTTAGTAGGACTGTCTTCTTTTTCTGTCTCTGCTCTGTTCTCTCAAACCCCCAGTCGATCGTGGCAGATGGCCGCTCACACTGAGCCTGGTTCTGGTTCTGCTGGAGGTTTCTTCCTGTTAAAAGGGAGTTTTTCCTCTCCACTGTCGCTACATGCATGNTCCACTGTCTCTACATGCTCATCCAGGAGGAGTGAATGCTGCAAGTCACTGACTGGATGCAATCTGCTGGGTTTCCTTAGACAGAAAAACTTTTTATCCAGTTTGAATAAATAACTGAATCTGACTGTTTGATAGTTAGGATTAATTGGAATGTATGAACCTGACTGTTGTGAAGAGCCTTGAGACGACATGTGTTGTGAATTGGCGTTATATAAATAAACTGAATTGAATTGAATTGTAATTGAAAATAACTGCATATCTTTCTTACATTTATAATATAATTAAATTGAGGGGAATATAGTGGACCGAAACTTCTGTCCGGCACTGTAGGTTTCCATCTTTCATCCCTTTTTCTTATTGTTAACGTCTTTTATTCAAATCGGTTGTAGCTCACATGTTGGTCCATGTCAGGTTGTAGTTAAAAGGTTCAACATTTAGTTATTGTTTAATCTCAACATATTCTTCATAAAAGTTTACTATTATTGGTTAATATTTTTGTTCATGTCACTGTATATGAACTTTTTGTTTAAATTGGAGAACATAGAGAATCCCGTTTTGGTGGTTGAGTTTGGGACTTTACCGTGAGGTTTATCGATAATGACTTGGTTGCGTTCGATGTGTTTGCTCTGCCCCACAGAGAACTCGCAGATGTAGCTGCCAGAGTGCTCCGAGTGTTTGGGGTCCATCAGACGGAGCGAGCCGTCTCCAAACGTGGCTTTGTAGGCGTCCAGCTCCGCGTGATTGACCCAGGACGGCAAGGAGAAGCTGTCCCCCGACCGGCTGTCGTAGCTGAGGATGAGGGTGGATTTATCGTTTCTGGAGAAGGTCCAGAAAAGGATGGGGTTGTTCAGGTAAGTGGGAGCCAGGCAGCGAATGGTCAGGTCTCTTCCCTCAGTTCCTGTTATTTCTGTAAAACAGCAAAAGCAGCGGTGAATGTTTGGTTTCACAGTCAAAGTCTGTCCTAATTAAAGAATTAAGTCTGCTGTTTTACAAGTTGTTAAAACCTGCAGCTTTAAAAAGGAAACAGAATATGAATCTGAAATATTAAGGGGTTTATCTTCAATAGGTTGCAGAACTGCATGGTGGAACCTTTAAAATGCAACAATCTATCTTTGCTAAATCACATTTAAATTAGTAGCTGAGTGTGTAAATGGTCTGTAGGGTCCCCACTGCATGCAAGTGGGGACCCTACAGACCCTACAGTGAAAGAACTTTAAAACTGGGCTGATGTTCTCTAATCTCTAGGTTCTAGTGAGGACCGGGTAGCACCACTCTGGATCACCTGCAGCTGTATGATGGACCTTTTAAACAGATTTGTGAAGACACTGTTGCAGTAATCAATTCAAATAAAGATAAATGCATGGATGAGTTTTTCCAGATCCTGCTCGGACATTTGAACTTTAAATTAAACTTTAATTTTGGAGATGTTTTACAGATGATAGAAAAATCAACATAATGCATCAACTTAGTCTGGTTCTATTTCTGTATTTGTGACCGTTTTAAGCTGTGGAAGGATTGGACCCGTGAACAACAGAGGTGGCAGTCTGCTACACTTGTGTGGTGTGGTGGCCAAGTGGTAAGGCCTTGGTCTCGTAAACCAAAGATCATGGGTTCAATCCCCATCCATACCTCAAGCGGATACATACATAGCACAGTCTGGTTGGGGAAACCATTCCCATGGAGTCCAACTTTAATCTACATCTATCAGTTTAGCAAGTAAAAGCTGTCAAATATCATTTCAAATGTGCCTTGTCAGTAGGACTAGAAAATAACTGCATATCTTCCTTTCATCTATAACTAACTCAAGGAGAATATAGCGGACATTGTAGGTTTCCATCTTTCATCCCTTTTTCTTATTGTTAATTCGGTTTTATTCAAATCGGTTGTAGCTCACATGTAGCTCAATGTCAGGTTGTAGATAAAAGGTTCAACATTTTGTTATTTTCATGTGTGTGAAGCATCATCCCTGTTCTGGTTCTGTTAGCCCAAACGCATTTCCTTTTGAATCTGTCAAAGAAAACATAAAACTTGTTTCATCTCAACGTATTCTTCATAAAAGTTTACTATTATTGGTAAATATTTCTGTTCACAGGCGTTATATTTTGATGTTAGGAATGTCTGATTTAAGATGTTGCTGTAGCTGCCGGAGTGCTCCGAGTGTTTGGGGTCCATCAGACGGAGGGAGCCGTCTCCAAACGTGGCTTTGTAGGCGTCCAGGACGGCATGCTTGTTCAGGTAAGTGGGAGCCAGGCAGCGAATGCAAGTGTTTAAATTGGCAGGGATTAAAAAAAAAAAAGAAAAGGAAATTCTAAGTGTTTTTTAATCATGTCAGTGCACTTCATGTGAATCTTTGGAGCCAAGCCTCAACAGAATTTCATTATGGTGCCATAATGACAATAAAGAACCTTAAATGTTGAAAAAAATGCTTTTCCAAGATTTCAAATTTGGGCTTCACAGCATCAAGTGCTCCCGTGTGTGATGAGGTTTTTCACTGCTGGATGCTCTCCGCGTTCATCAATATTTTCTCTGAGATATCAGACACCATGCTATTAACAAAACTAAATACTTCCGTATTTACTTTTTTGTTATTCACTTCCGTGAATGAGAATAAACAGTTTTGCAGGACAAAAAAGTGTTTATTCCCATTCACGGCTCCATCTTCACTGTTGGGGTTTGTGGCCTGGTGGCTGCCTCTTTCTGAAGCCGTTTAGGAGGAAAGCATTTAGACTGCAATCTGTTCTCTTACCTCCCACCTGTTTTCTTGTGAAATTTCTCTGTTTTTTCTGTTGGTTTGCTCCTATCTTGTGTTGTGAGAACAGTCTGCTGTTGTTTTCTACTTTTTGCTGGGGTTGAAGAGACTTTTCTTTGTATTGGCAGCCAAGGTGTTCTTCCTGTTTGCTGTGTTCCCAGATCTGAAAGCACAGATTTGTCCTCTGGCTTTGCACGAAGAGAGTTCACCAGAGAGTTCAGAGGGTTGGTTTACTGTTTTGTTAGCTGGATGTCAGTCTTATCACTCTTTTGAATCACCAGTAGAGTCGTATTATTGTCATACCCAGCATTTACCTCCACATTCACTTCAAGCCAAAGAATATTCATTTTATTCACTGCTGTTTTTGTAGAAGTTTGTCCCAGTCATCTGTGGAAAAGGGAGGCATCGTGTACTGATTAGCGTGTACTGCCATAGAAACTGCAGCTGCAGCTTGCCTCATCTGGTTAATCAAAAGTGATTAAAATAAAATAAATCCTTGAAAGAATCCACTGAAAAGTCATTGAGTGACACTAATTTAAAGCCCTTCTGTTCAGTCTTTCTAAAGTCCTTGGCTGAGAGATAACAATTAAAGAGTAGAAGAATCCAAGCAAACAGAGAGAAGGAGGAGAAAGCGTCTGGGCGAGTACAGATCAAAACCTTGTAGAACACCATAAGAGACTGGTGAATGTGGACTAACTGAAGTCTGTTAGATAGATATGATTTAAACCACTGCAAAGCACCACCCTGGATCATAAGGTGCTCCTTCAATCTCCGTAGTAAGATGAGGTTGATGGTACCATATGCATCACTGAGGTCAAGATGGACTAGAAAGGACAGGAGACCATGGTCCAATACAACGAGGAGGTTGTTTATTACTCTGTTTAATGCAGATTCAATGGATGTTTCAGATACACCATGGAAATCAGGTGTTGGGCCACAGGTGTGGTGGCCAAGTGGTAAGGCGTTGGTCTTGTAAATCAAAGATCATGTGTGAGCCACATCTTTCATTCTTGTACAACTATCTCCATGTTATCCATCAACTGTCTACATCTACTTGACCTTGTAGGGTCGCAGGGTACTGGTGCCCATCTCCAGCGGTCATTGCTGGTTGAAGCCTGTCCATCGCCAGTCCATCACATTTATACAACTACTGTGGTTAAAATAATTTCACATATTGCAGTAATAACAAATATTCGTATTATTCATAACTTATATTTTGATTCTATCTCTAAAATCAGGTTTAAATGTTTCAGGTTTTTTTGATCCTGATTCTGCATCAGTTGTGGAGATTTTATATTGAAACGTTAAATCTCTCATCCAGTCTCACGTGGTGAAATTAGATTTTATTTCAAAGAGAACATATTGACAAAGAATAAATTCAGATAAATTTAGTGTTACTTTTAAAGTAAACATGTTTCTTGCCTCTCATTCAACTTTTTGTAAAGCGACCTTGGAATCCTGGCAAGTTGATGTTCACTAGTTAACTAGCAGGTTGTTGTGAGCCTCTCAGTTTGTTGCCATCATATATACAGCTGACTGACAGCTTAAAGGAACCGCTGAGAGAAGTGTAGCACTACTCCTCACTCCATTGAACTCCATTGTCTCAAATGCATATAAAATGTGCAATTTGAAGAAACGGAGAAGTTTATCTGTTCTGTTAGAACATAAAACCATCCAAGCTGTGAACATTTTTTACCTCTCTCCCTAAGCGACGTTGTCCACGTTGAGGCGCCGTAAGAAGACGTCATTTTACAGATGTAAATTAGGTCAGGTTGACTCTTTAGCTTCCTCAGTCGGCTGTCCACTGTGTATAGACCATTAGGTTTAGCATGCATGCGCGTGACGGGTCGGAGGTCTTCAAATGTGGGCGGTTCGGTCGCCCAGGTCACCCGAGGAGGCGGGAAGACGTCCTGGACGGAACATTTTATCTCCTCGTAGCCGCTCAGCCGGGACTGCTCCAGAAAAAGGCGTCGAATAGGAGCTGCAAACACAAAATGGAGGACGCTCAGTGTTTCTAATGATAGACACTGAAGGTCAGGGCCTGATATAGCCTGGCTGTAGGTGAGATCACTGTTATGGAGATAAGACCTCGCCAAACTCCTGACCTCTCATTAGTAACTGGAAAACTGGCTCACTGTTGCTGTCCTGAGCTGGAATCACATCCAGGTTCTCAGGGTTCTGCTGCTTACACTTACAGACTGAAGTCCTTAATCAGGCTAAATTAATTAAGACATTTCAATGTGCTACACAATGTGCAGTAAAGTATTTCTGTACATTTAGGTGTCAGTCGGCCAGAGATAGTAACTGTTAAAGTAGTTTAGGTCCGTTAGCTTTCTGAAAGTTTTTAGGAAAAAATTCTACAAACATTATTTGCTGAATAGTTTTTAGTTGAAAGAGCTTTGGAAATTACCTTGTTGGTCCTTAAATGCAATTTTGTGTCACTCATCTACATTACATGTGGTATTTTTCTATGGTTTTAATGATGTGAAAGGATTTAACTAATCAAATAATTTGATTTAAAACAAGTAATAAGCAGCACAAATCCAAAGAAAACCTTCAGAAATCCTGACAAGACCATGCTTTTAGATTAAAGGAAAGTCTGATTGCTTAGAATGAGAATCTAAAGGAAAGGGAACTGGATCAAGACACCAAAGCTTCACTGAATGTCAAATAAAATAATAAACATTGTAAGCAGACAAACATCCCATAACAGCTAAGATGCATTTTGCTGAAACAACTGGACTTTAAAAATTATATTTATTATTTAAATGTAATAAAATATTTTGAAAGTTGCTGTAAAAAACGCAATTTTGTAATTTCTCACAGCAAAACTTGTGCAGAAACCAAACTGGTGAGGCGATGAAGCAGAATATTTCATCAGCTGACATTTGGACGTCTTCTTATAAACTCACCTTCTACCTTTAGGATGACCTTAGCTTTGTGTCTTCCTCCTGAGGTTTGTACATGACACCTGTATGTGCCCCTGTCCTTCGGGTCGCTCCTCCTCAGGATCAGGGTGGCGTTTCCGTCAGAAATCTGCTGTGGAGAGATGGAGGCGCGTTCGGCAAGCTGGTCCGGATTAAAACTTTCCTTGCTGCTGTTTCTGTCGAACCTGTACAGCAGCGCGTCCTGTCTGAACCACTCAACGGTCTCGTTCCTGCCGGGCTGGAAGGTGCAGGGGAGCGCGCAGTCCTCTGAGTTGAAGCAGGTCACGACAACATCTGGAACAAGTCAGGAAGAGTTTAGTTAGAGGCTGATCTGAGAGAGAAAAAATCAGGCATCAAGAGTGTGTCTGAGCTTCAGCTCTGGTTTTCTCAGTTTTAACAGTTGCTGTAGTGAAGCACTGAAAGCTTCTTCCTGTAGAAGGAAGGAACATCTTCTTGCAGGTTTTGTTTTTTAAAGGTCATCAGATGTTCACATTGGATCAGAACAACACGACTCTGACAGTTTAGTTTGTTCTAGAATCCAGTTAGAAATTCTGTTCAAGTAGTCAAGATAACATTTCTACTGTTAAAACCAAAAGCTAAAGATATTAATTACATTAAAAGCACTAGAAATTAAATTAAAGATACCTAGAAATATGATATCTTGAAATCCCTAATTTATCCTGGAATGAATGAATGTTAGAATATCTGAAATGTAATCTTTTCACCAGAAGAATTGATCTATGGAAATTCTGTTTAAACATCCTCTCTGGGTATTATATGTTAAAAGTGCTTGCAACATTAAGCGAACATCCGATCAGTCCAGAACGTTTTTTGGGTTCTTATTAAACTGAGTTTATCTTGTTGGAACGGTGTAATAGAAAACTTTTAAAACTCATGTCATGACCTGTCATGATTCATCAGCTTATTATTATTAGTAAGGTCTTGCCATATTTGTTTTTCTGGGTTGTTTGATATTGTTGTTAGGGATTTTCCATATATATTCATTTATGTTCAGTTTCTTATTTCTCTCTTATGTGCATTTTGGTTTGGTTGTCTTATGGTAGTGTTAAAGTTTTCTCTTTTGACTTATGAGCTTTCTTGAGGGAAGGTGTGGTGGCCAAGTGGTAAGGCGTTGGTCTCGTAAACCAAAGATCGTGGGTTCGATCCCCATCCACACCTCAATTAGCAAATTTAGGGGGTATTGGTAACCTTGTGGCTAGACAGCAGGTGATTTGTACTCTGGATACTGACAACCACCAACAACCTAGATTGAATCACAGCTTGTCGCTCTGGCTCCTTGGGCAAGACCCTTAGCCCCAGCATGTACCTTGTCCCATGCATAATAGCATCTCCTTAAGGGATGGGCTAAATGCAAAAGACAGTTTTGTTGGAAATTGCAATGACAAAAAACATGTGTGTTATTAATTATTTCTCTGGTCTCCTGGCATTAATTATTCTCTTTCCCTCAGTTTTTCAGTATTCCCCTTATCAGACTCACCTGGTTTCCAGGTCACTACTAACACTTCAGTGTTCAAGCTTCATGGTTCCTGTCGTCCAGTGATCCTGGACTTTCTGTTGTTACCCTTTCTGCTCTGATGTCCCTTTCTTCCTGCCTTTGTTTTGTTTTCTGTTGACTCATTTTGTCACATCACTGAAGAAACTGACCATGCCTAGTGTGTGTGTGTGTGTGTGTGTGTGTGTGTGTGTGTGTGCGTATGTGTGTGTGTTTGTGAAAGATACAAAGAAAAGTCACGTCATTGTGTTAATAGTGTAAATAACAGGGGTGTAACAGTTTTTTCTGTACTCTCCAGTCAAGAAAAATGAATAAAAATATACTTTTTTTTTTACTTCGGTCAGCAGCAAACAAAGAATGCTTGTCAGCTGAAATGAATTTGATTTTATTATGTTCTAAAACGTAAAACAGTGGAAAGCACTGAACTGACTGGAGGTTTGGTTGGATTTTTTTCAGTGAATAAAGTAGCCATAGCCAGTGCCTGGATAGACAGATTGTACAACAATATAAGTTATATTGTTCTATAACCTCTCGACAAGAGTCAATGTTACTGTTTAGAAAATTTAAACAAGACTGTGCCCATGTTTGAGAACATAACATGTTTCAATCTGTTGTTTTGATATTTAGACAGCCTGGTTTACCAGCTATACCTGAATGCAGCATGGTTGGGAAGTTGAGAAGACCTCCTCTCATCTTGCATTTTATTAAATGTAAGCAGTTTGGGCTGATTGGTTCCTACAGGTAGCCATTTGGACCTCAGCTGATTTTTCTCCAGAACCAGTGGTTTACATTCAGCTTGATATTGTTTCAGGTGAGTCATTCAGTTCAGTCCAGAGGGACCTCCATACCTTACTGATGTTGAAAAACACTGAAATGAAGTTCTGGTTCGGCCCAGCTTTCTTTCTCCACTGTAGCTGCAAGATAGACATTAATGCCTGATCAAAACAGCAGAGTTTAATGATGGGTGGGGAGAGTTTGGGTTAGGGTTGTGCACTTAGTTCTGCACATAAACATTCTGCATGTGTTCAGGTAAAAAATAATTTACGGTACCGTTACACCCCCTAATAAATAACATCAGGCTGTTTAATTTGTTTTGGGACCAATTACTTGCTTCTGTTGGGGTTTTGCCCTATTTAGAGAATAACAGAAATTCACTACCAGACACTACCAACAGACAACCCACTAACAATAATGTTGGGGGAAACGCTGGAACTGTTTTAATCCTAATAGGAGCATTTATTGCATCTATTTATTATGTATTTATTCCGGCTTATTGAAATGATCAGTGTGTGTAAAGACAGACGAGTTGCTGCTGAGTTATTGCTGAGTTCAGCTGCGGTTGTGGCCACACCCTACAGTATATTAAGCATTAGTATTTTCTGATGAAAAAATACTGGAAAATCTCTCAATGTCCCCAGAACTCTGTGTTCTTCCAAATCAGTTTGTGTGGTTTTTACCTTTGTTTGAAACATCAAACATCGTTCTACTTCCAATATATTTCCCCTGATTTGTTGTTTTTGTCACGGATGTTTAAGGTCACGCTGACTCTTGATGCCCCTGTGCACATTGG